TCTCTCTCTCTCTCTCTCTCTCTCTCTCACACACACACACACACACAAAGGTTTGTTTTTGTGAAAAGTGGGGACATCCCATAGGCGTAATGGTTTTTATACTGTACAAACTGTATGTGCTATTGCCCTACACCAACCCTACCCCTAAACCTACCCCTTACAGGAAACTGTGCTATTTCAGATTTTCAATACACTCCATTCTGTGTGATTTATAAGTGTTTTGAAAAGTGGGCACATTGGGGTAATGTCCTGAAAAGTCACCTTCTCCTTGTAATACCTATGTCATACCTTTGTCATTATACAAATTTATGTCCTTATTTGTCACAAAAACGCGTACACTCACATACACACACACACCACACACACACAATTTCAATAAGTAAAGATCATGTTCCATGAAGATATTTTGTAAATTTCCTACCGTAAATATATCAAAATGTTAATTTTTGATTAGTAATATGCATTGCTAAGAACTTCATTTGGACAACTTTAAAGGCGATTTTTCTCATTATTTAGATTTTTTTTGCACCCTCAGATTCCAGATTTTCAAATAGGTGTATCTCGGCCAAATATGGTCCCATCATAACAAACCATTCATCAATGGAAATTATTTATTCAGCTTTCAGATTATGTATAAATCTCAATTTTGAAAAATTGACACTTAAGACTGGTTTTGTGGTCCAGGGTCGCATTTATTCTTATGGTACACAGGCATACTGCTTTAACATATTTTACTTGTTCCTCCTCGTAAATAATTTTCCAGTGAGAATGATTCACACGTTAGAGACTGCACCCGGTCTTACACTGAGGACTGGGCCATCGTTAACCGCAAGTATGATGCTTCACTACATCTGTTCTCTCTTTAGACTTCATACAGCCTTTTTCTCCTGATACATGGGATTCTGATGCATGGTTTTAAATATGGAAAATGTGTTAAGTGGAGCTGAAAGTGTTACGTTCTTAGTACCTCTTTGTGATTAACGGATGTTCCAATCCTGCGGAAGTATCTGCAACACTGTCTGTGGATTTCTGCAGGCACAAATTTTGTGTGGGCCTGCTCATAAATGACAAAGAGGAATTCCAGTGCTTTTTGCCTACAGTCTTTCTTCAACATGCTGCTTTTATGATACTTTTCACTGGGGCTTTTAACTCAAGCAGCTTCCTAGATATTTATAGGGCCTTCATAAGTTACTGTGAATAAGTTACCTTGGTGATTCTTAACTGATAAGCCCAAACTCTTATCTTGACCGAGTTCTTATAATGGTTGTCACTGTGACCATGTATAGTAATCCAAACATATACTGATTATTTTTACCCAGTCATTGAGAGAAACGTAAATGGAAAGGAAGTAATTACTGTCATTAAGGTTGAAAGTTTAGCTTAAGCCTGCAAACTTTCACATATAATTATGTGAACTGAATGTGTGTAGTTTTATCCATCAGTGACAAAGCACCACTGAACTGAATTTTAACATTGCTATATAAAATACTCATTACATAAAATACAGATTTTTTTCTTTACTGATAAAATATAAAAAAATTGATAATTTCACATAATCTTGTTTTTTTAATTTATTTAAAATTAGTAGTAGTGATTCGTTGTAATTTGCTATTACTTAACACATGTATTCACATTTTTTTGGCTATAATTAAACAGAAGTCTCTTAATTTAAAAAAATAAAATAAAAATAAGTTTAGGCATACATTTTTATTTTTTAAATGTCTAATTATGTCATAAAAATGCTTTCCATGTAGGCTTGCTGCGATAGACGGTGTTTTGGGTTATACCGGTGTTAAGCCGCAACACCGGTTACGTCATTTGCCCACCGCCCCCCACCGTCGTTTAGATTTTTTTATAGTAACAAAAATAATTTAGTCTAGTTCAGTTAGAGGACAGATACTTTTAAAAACGAAATGCTCAATGCAGCGTGCCGAACCGTGTGCGAATGACAGTGCACCACGGAGCAGGAGTCAGATTTTATTTATCACGTGAGGAGAGTGAGTCGAGCTGACCGACAAGAGTGAGGTGAGAAAGACAAGACGATGGCAGAAGATTGTTTAGAAAGGAAATGCAAAGGCTTTTGAAGATTTTGAAAAGCCTATTGACTGGAAGTTTTTTTAAACATTCGTTTCTTATTTATTTGGTTCCACAGTGTTTGCTGATTTTCAATTTTATATACTTATTTAAACTTTGTGTAGCCCAAGTAATTCGTTATTTTATTAGGCATAGGCCTATATGGTCTTTTTATTTGTTTTGTTAATAAAAGTTCTGAGTTTGACGTTGTTGTTGCTTGAATTGAATCAACGCTGAATTGCCCCTAATTCGTAAAACGCGCACGGTGCTTTTTCAAGCTATTTGAAAGCCAAGAAAGCAGAGGAAAAGAGGGAAAACTCAAACTAACAATTACTTGACGCTGAATTGCAGCACTTTTACAAGCCATTTGAAAACGAAGAAAATAGGGAAACTCAACCGAACTAACCCCCCCCACCCCCCCCCCCAGCACTCGCCG